CGCCGCGCTCCCCGCCCGCCGCCACTCCGGCGGCTCCGCCGAGCAGCACCGCGGCTCCGGCTGCCGGGGCCGCCGCCGCGCAGAGCCACCAATGCGGGGGATACTGGCGGGGAGGCAGCGGCTCCGCGGCAGCGGGGAGGGCAGGTGAACTCCGGGGAAGGATGACCGGCGTGGCCGCGATCGTCTTTTTCCTGCAGCTCTTGCCCAGGGCGGACGGACAGGTCTTCCCAGGTAAGTGATGCCCGCCCGGCCGGTGCCCCGCTCCTGCATCCCCCGGTACCCCGGCCGCGGGCGGCTCTCCCGGCAGCCCGAACTCTGCGCTTCCAGCCTCGCGGGGAGCTCCCGGTGCCATCCGGGGAGCGGCAGGGCATGGAGGCGCCTCGGAAGGCGCTGGCCAGCGGCAGCGAGCAGCCTCGGTACCCGCCGGTCGCGGAGGCGCCGGGGATGGGATGCGAGGGGCTCTGCCCGGCCGTGCGGGGGGTCCTGCCGGGGCTGGGGGGACTCGCTCCTGCGAAAGTTGCGTGTGGCAAGAGGTGACAGCATCGCCTTTATTCTGGGAGTCGCGATACGCGAGGCGTTTTTTGGTGGTAAAGAGCGTTTGCGAGCCCAAGACAGGAGTTGGCTCCCGCGGGATGTGCGGCGCGGGGGGAGCCGCTGCCTTTCCCATCCGGTCAGGGGAAGGGGTCTGGGCTTGCCCTGGGAAGTTTAGTGGCAGCTGTTTCACCACTTGCATGCCACAGCTCCAGGAACTTTCTCGGGGGCTCAGGCACTCGAGTCGGCTCCTTTCCGATTGTCACTTTCTCTGTCGCTGATGTTAAGGAGTACTTTGCTCCCTGGCATGTGTACAGTAATAGTAGCCAGCTATTTTCCCACTCCTACGAGTTCCTTTAGGCATAGTTTGAATTACTTGAAGATGACAGGTGCTTATAGAGCTGGCTTTCTCCTCCTGTGCTATTCTGTAGGTAATCCAAAGCTACATGAGTCTTGTTTTGCTCCTGGATCTTCCAATACATTAATGTTCTCACTGCAGTTTGTGCTCATGCTAAAAGACAAGCAGTTATAGATTTCTTCTCTCTTGACTTATATAAAAAAAAAAGTATTTTAAAACTACCTGTATGTTTAAGATGAGTAAAATTTCCCTGTGTTGTGTCGCTTAACATGGGGATACATCTCACTGCCTGTGACTTAGGCGTGCTGGAGGCACGAAACTAAGTTGAGTTCATCTCAGACACAAGAAGGTTTCTGTGACTCGAAGCAGCAGCTCGGATGACTCTGTCTCGCTGTTTTAGAGCAGCAGTAGTGGCGTGTTGGAGATGCTGAGCCCCGTGGCCGCCTTGCCCCGAGCCCTTGGGCTCAGGGACGGGGCTGGCTGGCAAGGGCCGGGCAGACCCTGGCCCGAGGAGCTGCTGTCATCAACCCCGCTGGCTTTGACACCACCGGGATCGTGTTTACATTGCTAGGCAACTGCACAAAGTACAGATTTATTAGAGAGGCTGGGAAATCTAACCTAGTTAAATAACTGCTTCCTTGAGTAAGCAATATGTGGAGCTATTTATTCCCCCCCCCCCCTTTTCTCTCCCTTCCAACTGTTTTCGTGTTCTTGACACTTGTCATATCAATTGTGATTAGATCCTGGGCTTTTGATGAATCATTTAGCCAGATGCTTGGAAGGAAGAGTGTTCTGGGAAATAGCAAAGTTTTAAGGGGGCAGAAGACACTTTGTATTTGAGGGAGATAATGTAATATGAGCTAAACACATGAAAAGTTAACGTATTTCAATTATTTTTAGGAGAGCCATGAAATATTTTAATTATCAGTTCAGTGGAAAGAGTAACTGTGAGAGGTTTTTAAAAATCATTAGAATCCCCTTCTCCCTCCTATTTGAGTGTGCGTCCTGCCATACAAAGTAAGAGACACTGATTTTAACAACTGCTTTCTGAGCTGCCTATAGTACTGAAATTAGGAGAAAGCCTTCTACTCTTAAAATAAATATCTGCTGTGAAGTGTATTGGTCTGGACTGTGTCCCTGTAGCCGATTTTTAGTTTGGTTTTTTTTGGGTTTTTTTTTTTTTTTTTTTTTTTTTTTTTTTTTGAATGGTAAAAACCAACATTTTGCAGGTGCACTTTGTCCCTGAAAATTCAGTGAAGTTTGGAGCGGCTCCAGCTAATGCCATCGGTGTCTTTCCGCATCTTCCATCAGGTGGTGCTCTCTCCATAACTTTTAGGATGCAAATACCTCCCGTCTCCGATTATTTTTCAAAGACTACTGCTTTTATACAGCAGCCTTTTGTTAAACATCCCGAAAAATCACTGTGCAGGTTGTTGGCTTGTTTTTAAAAAAAACTTATTTTCTTAATTGATCGCTGGACTAGGAAATAGGAAAGGCACAAGTCAAGAGGAAATGTGGTCAGTTCCTACCCGATTTGTGCAGCTGCTGCTGCTTTGTGTTATTCCCAACGTAAAATTAGGAATACTACAAAGAGAGAGCAGAATGCTCATGGTTTCTCCCTGGAATACTTCGTTTCATCCTGACGGAGCTGGCTACCACTCATTTATTTATGTAATTTCTCTATCACTCTATTTATAACTCTTCTCCCCAGCAATTACTTCCCCTTCCCTGCAGTCTCTGTATTTGTTTGTAACTCAACATATGCTTTTCAATGTTCTAAACTTTTTGTCAGCTCTATGGTCAGCTGCTAATTTAAATGCTTTACTTTTCCATGCACGACACAGAAGTACCACCAGGTAATGACAGCGGTAGCCAGTTCTTTTCAGGATTTTGGAACAGCATTACTCACAGGGAAGTTCTGAAAGTCCGCGTGCGGTTTTTCTCCCACCAGAGCGTGTGGGGTATTGCTGCAGTTGCCGCACACTTTGCTATTGTCTGTTTTGAGAGTATTTTTAGCACCACAGGGGGATAAATAGAGAGATTAAAGTAATTTGCAGCTGTGAAAAAGCATCCGGGGGAAAAGTAGGACAGAGGGTTTACATGAAGGCTGTTGACCTGAACACCAGATTATTTAACACTTGTTTTTCTTCTGATGGCAGTGCTTAATTTAATTTTTCCCCCTGTCCTGCTCCTTGTTTTGCTGGCAGAGCTCGAACGCTCCCAAAAGCTGCTGCCACATCGCGAAGTTGTGGCAACTGAGAGTTCATTACACAGGGCTCGTCCGGCGAGGGGAGAAGATGAAAAGGGAGCAAACTGCAAGGAAATTTTTGGGGGAAGCCTTAATTTAGTAGGAGTTCATTTGCTCAGGTTTCGCTGTCAGTAAATTGGCGGTGAAAAACGGGCCTTTCTGAGCGAGCTGCTCTGTGTGGCAGTTGTTAACAATGCAGCCATTTAACTCAATAATCACTTTTCTCTCCCTCTGGGGAGCTGTTAGCGCCACAATTCCACTTTATTTTTATCCCCGGCTGGCTCGATTTGTTTTCTAATACATAAACAATTAATCCTAAGAAGGTGATGTTGTGAAACTGCCTCTTTGACAGCGGCAACGAAAGGTCACTGTGTGTATAAAGGCGTTCGCGGATCTCTGAGGGATAATCCTTCTCTTTTACAAATGCAGAGCCCTTTTTAACCATCCGCCCTCCTGCAAGTCCCTGAGCTCTGCTTCTCTTGTTTCATTGTACTTTTAAAGTCTGTTATGCTCTGCGTGCAGTCCCACGTGCTCCAGTTTTCATTAATATTACGGGAATGATTTGGGGCACTTGCTGTAGAATATTAAAGTATATATTTTTTTTTTTTCAGAAGGCACCATCATATGTTGCCATGGAAACCCGAATAGTAGTAAAGATGTAGGTCTGAGGCTTTGAACCTCGAAAGCCATGGACAACGGTGGTTTCTTATAGGAACAATTACTTTTGTACATGAAATCCAGTTAAGTGGAGAGAAGAAAGAGAAATAAATTGATCTGTTCAGCATTTCTCTGACAATCCTCTTGAATAACATTCAGCACGGAAGGATCAGTGTCTCTGATTCTCTCTATGTGTATGATGTGGGTTTTAAAAAGCTCATTATTTATCATAATAGTTGTTTTATGCTTCTGGTAATTTCCATTGTGATTTTATAAGTGAGGTGCACAAATGTGTATTGGCAGGTATTGTTCTTTGCTTGAATGGGAAGCACTGAATGTACAATGGAGACGTGTGCATTGGAACTTAAATATTTTGGCAATGGGCAAATTTGAGACTGATTTATCGTGGCCCTAATTAAGAAAAAGAATAAAAATAGCAGATGTTGTCTGAAATCCACCTACCAAAATCTGATTGTATACATGGGTTTGCTCACTGATGAGAGTGATAATACTTCTGCTTTCCCACAGAAATCCTGCAGCCTGGTTGACATCCCCAGAAGCCCTTCCAGTGTTTGGGTGATGAGCAGCAGGATGTGTGTGTGCATTGCTATATAAAGCCCCCTGTCTTTCTAGAGAGACATCCCTTAATTTTTTATGGAAACTGCTGCAGTCTGTTTCCTCGGTGTTTTGTAAGGCACAGATTAAAAATGTAACTGAGCTTCCAAAAAATGCTCATAGGAACATTCATAGATGAGACTTTCCTTACATGTATTTGAAATAGCAGCAGCATGCAGGGGTCACCTGCTGCTGTGAACAAGTTGTAGTCCAGGTTTCCATCTGTGGAGCAGGAAACCTTCTGTGTCTCCCTTTGCCTCAGTAGCAGAGGGCTCCACTCCCCTGAGGAAGGGCTCGTGGGCTGCCATTCCTTGGCTCTGTGCTCATATTCCGTATAAGAAGATGGTATATGGCTCTTCTGGTATTTCAGGAACGTTTTATGGAGCAGCATTACTTGGCTCATTTAAGCCAATGTATTTGGCCTGGAGTCACTTTTTTTATACCGCTCACTGTTCCTGGTTTTCTTATTTTTCTTTAGCTGGCGCTCTCCCCTGTTTGTGCTGGATGGTACTACTTGGATGTACCTTCATTTAGATAGTCTCTGCTTTTTTTTGAGACATCCTTACCTCCCTGTTACCCTACCACCTTCTTTGCCTGGTGCTATCCCTTACATTTCAATTCCAGGCAAAGGCAGAGAAAAAGAGCAGGCACACAAAGGTGGTGGATGTTGTTGATGGCACCAGTGAGGACTTCTCACAGCCTGGCCCTATTTTTCTGTGCACTTACACAACAAAAAAAGGTTCATTATTGTGAGCTCTAAAGATCATACATCTTCATGGTAAAGGAGACAATTACTGTCTTAATCAGACTATGCATCATTTA